CAAAGCCCGCGTTGGATGGAGACATAGATAGATAGATACCCGAGCGAGTGAGCGAACGAGCGAGCGGGAGACGGACGGATTGACGCAGCAAACTAGACCACTGTATAGTAGATGCGGTGAAGTTTCCGAATGAACAGCAGCTCTATTTATCGCGTCCTGTAGTCAACGATGCCAGGTAGAGCGCTGTCGAGCTCGAGACCGCTGCGACCGGTGATGCTCTGCTGCGTGCGTGACCACCGATGCTAAGACGACACTCACTTACGGGAGACTTCCACAAAATTAATTCTTTGTTTTCACAAGAGCTGTCCCGTCCGGCCATGTGACCGAGCGGGTGAGCGAGGCGGACAAGAACTATCAACGAAACGCTCTCACAACTCGAAAGCAACGAGACAGAGAGATCGCTCGTTCGTTCGCGAAATAGTGCTGGAAAAACTAGCAATCAATAATGCTGCTGCCGGTGCCACCACCTCGCCACCACAAACCATCAGAGAAGCTCATGGGGAGAGCCGAATCGCGAGAAAGAGATTTCATACAGCGAGCACGGCGACGACGAGATTGAAAAAGGCCCCATCGTTCTTCCTTAAGGGTCCTAGTCACCCTGCCTAGTCTTGGCCGGCTGGCCGCCGGTCGGCCGGCCTGGCTAGTCGGTCGGTCGGTTCGACTCTTCACCAGGAAAGAAAAGGCGGGTATTCTTTATTTTATTTACATTCACAAGGGTCTGCCTGCGGGTGAGCCGCGAAAATGCGGGAACGCAGCTACAACGGGTGGGCATCTCGAACGTTCCTCGATTCTAAAAAGCAGGACTAGTGCGCGGACCTTCAAAGACTCGCTGCTGTAGCCGCTGCCAATTAGAGTCTTTGAAGGTTCCGCTAAACAAACGCGTTGTCAAACATTTCTGATTCGATTGAATCTCTATCTTCCCCAGTTCGGGCTCTGCTCTCGGCGAGATGACAAATAAGGTTCCACGACATTACTGACTCACAAGTGAACGAGTTCCAGCCGACCTATGAACAACAATTCGAGGCGCCTCTCCGAACCTGTCAAGTCCGACGTGTGAGCAGCTCTGCATGATCCTGATCGCGCAGAGAAACGGTGCGGTGATTAGAGATGCCGGAGAGAACAGAACACTGTGGCCGACCCGACGCGCGACGGCTTCGGTCTACCGCTCACGTTGTCGAGCCGCGTCATATCGACTCGAGTTTCGGGGAAACCCTGTTGACCACCCGTTTCTGATTCCTGCTCTATCGGAAGTCCCGAATGGAGTATTACCGGAGCCTGCGTCCAGAATTCCACCTTTGAGATTCCAATCGAAACATTCATCACTTGCGTCGAACCGTCGGGTGGCTTCCGTGAAGCCTTTTTCGTGAATGGTATCGTCCGATCGAGCTCACTTCGGAAACTCCACCTTCCGCTTGAGAGAAAATCGAGGCGGGAAAGAGGTGACGAGAACATCGATTCTTCCGCGAAAGGTTTGCCCGAGAAATGTTCCAGGTGAAAGATCTCGTTTGCAGGCCCAATCCAGGCGAGGTCATCGCGACCCATCCTGGACTTTTATGAAGGGCAACAAAGGAAACCCAATATCCGTAACCGATCACCGGTTGTCGAATTCCGGCAGTCTCTAGCGCAGGTTCTCAATCATTTGAGCGGCTCCCATGTATCATCAGCAGTGCCAGACTGAGGAAAAGCGTGGATCTCTTTCAGTGAACTCGAGATCGCTACTCACGGATGGTAGATATTGAACATCAACGCGTTACTGAACTCCTCGAGTACGGTATTCGATACTTGTCTGAGGAAGGTCATCGGTAGCGAAGCCTTCAAAATCGCGGAGGATCACATGATCACAGCCGATGTCTTCCGTTCGTATCAGAAGTATTCATTTTCCGTCGGCGTTCTCCTTGTGCAGGCAGGATTCGAAGTGATCGACCGACGAGAACAGTTTCATGATCACAGGCGGCTGGCCCGGCAACAATAACGGATTCCTTCTCCTTTGAATGACTTCACGAACGCTTTCGGCTTTCTTCACTTTGAAGAAAGCCTCAGGAAACTTGTGTAGCCCCGCCAGTTTTGGGGGCGCCTCTGTATTAGGGAAGCATGCGTGGAATCTGAGAGTCGATGACGACACACCGATCGAAAACACTTCCTCCCCACATACCTGCCCCTCCGTTTCCCTCCGACGGAATAAGCATAAGTCTTGCCAGACTCATCAGTTATTTTCAACGCGGGGCTTTTTAGTCAACGCGTGAATTCGTCAGAACGTCTTCGCCAAACTCTGAAGAGGGCGACTCGTGTCGGCCCACTCGTACCGGCCGGTATCATAGCCGGCGATTTCGAATAATTCGAGGACATCCGATCAATAGAGAGCGCATCGATTTGCAAGAAGCAGCAGCATGAGGTCATCCGATCGGTCGATATCCTGCCCCTATAACAGTCATTCATCCTGACACGCGTAGCGACAAACCAACTCATAAATGAACATCGGATGAGAAATTGGTCGCGCTGATTCTATCAACAAAAGATGCGCCTGAAAGCGTTGATGCCCGTTTCGCGGAACGGCCGGGCGATCGATGGGACACGACGGGCTTGGGGAAGTTTTCAACTCGGAAAAAAAATGTTTGCGATCGGAGAGCATCGTTCCCGCGACGTAGGGATACATCGACTCGATTCGGGGAAATGTAACGAAATTCCCTAAATCTGTCTCGTTTACGGGTCGCCTGCCTCGGACGGATGAGGTTGCTTTACGTTCGCTGGAAATTAGTATAAATGTGCCTCAGCAGCCGCTACGATGTGGCGATGGGAGAGTCGTTAACAACAAGATCATACTCCGATTTATGTCCCACCCGGTTTCGAGATGCGCAGAAAAGAAAAGCCGAAACAGAGCTGTAATCCAGTATGACGCAGGCGTATTATCCGGGATGAGCGCTTGAACTCCTAAGCGGCTTAAGTTGTAAATAAGTTTTCAGACAGCGCGCACAAGACGTCGTCACTCACACCTACATCGGGCTTCTTGACGAGTGGGATGAGTGCTTCGCGAATGATGAATTGGTCATGTGATCTGGTAAATGGTGGACAGAACCGAGAGTCTGACGCTCACGCGACTGACAGCCCGACGGAAACTTGAGCGTCGGACAAACCGAAAAACCGTCAGACCAAGCAATGGATTGAAAAAGACGTCGGCCACGAGCTGACAATAAGAAGAAGAAGCGAAGGCAGAACGGCGTTTTTTACGCCAAAAAATTGCCTTCCATTCAGACTGCATAAAAATAAAGTCGAATTTGTTTAACAAAATGCCAGCAGCGACCGGTTCCACTGGCAGATGAGGAGCTCTTGAATGGGAGACTCTAATCGACTGAGAGTACTGACTGACTGTCGGACTGCGAACCCGTCAGTCTGCCAGCCAGTCAGTTGCGGTTGTCAATCGAAATTTCGTATTTTCGGAGATCGGGAATGAGTGCTCAAATAATTGGCTAAGCAGTGCCGACGAGCCAGAGTTTGACCCGTCTTGCGTATTACCGTCGCTTCCCGCAGAAATCATCGGAAGAGCCGAAAGATCTCAGTCAGACAGACAGGAGACGGGAGCAGTGCTCCCGTGCTGCTCACCATATACGAGACTGGCTCATTACTCGAAAAAACCCGGAGCTCAAACCGAGCCCCGGGCTCAATGAAAAGCGAGCAATCGAAATCGTTACCGAGTTCTACTTTCGGATTCAGCGCCTTTTAGTAGCGATCAAAAAACCTGCTTGGTACCGGTTCGAGCATTGAGCGCAGAGAAAATCCACAAATCGAGGTACTATATGTACATCCGAATTCCCATCATTATTTTTGGTGGTTTTCCTCATAAGCTCAGACGAGAGAGACGACCCAGATCGGGCGGAAAAAAGCTCGGAACGATGGACCGACGGAGATACGAATTCGATCTGAGCCACAAATTAGCTGGTCGTGGTTTGGTCGCTCGACTGAAAAAGACAGCTGCTCCGATCGTCTGCCCAGCACGGTGGCGGACAGTCTCACTCTGTGCTTGACTGAGTGACTATGTGAAAGACCTTCATCATCGATTCGTTTGATGTGGCTTCGCGAGGTGAGATGATGCTCGGAGAATTTGCCAATCGGATCCAAATGATGGTGGTACCCCGCTCCTGAGCCCTAACAAAACTACGATTCTGACACCTCCTCTGCTGGTCGTGGTGGAGGCGGCGCAGCAGCAGCGCGGCGTACAGCTGTTCGAGCGCCACTTCGGATCGGTCGATCGGAGTGATCGTGGCGCCCTATCCTAATTCAAGCGGACCATCTACTATGTAGGTATTTGATCTCCCGATTGCGACAACAGTACAAACCGCAGTTGCCACGCAGAAGATTCGTGGATTCCTCAGACCTCACAGAGCCGCGGGAGGAAATCACGAAAAGACTGACGATTGGAGCGCGCGCGCGCCGTGAAATACACCACGATGGCGGTGACGCGAGGTGAACGATGGAACGAATCGAGCGCGGAAGTTGACCCGCGAGAGACAAGCAGCGAGAAAATGAGCAGTCAGAGAAAAGACTGTGAACTCCCGCCGTCTGCATCTCGCTCTTCATCGTCTTCAAAGAGGTCGAACTCCACAGCGGGAGGTGGACGATCAAACGAGGGAGCAGGCGCGATGTTTCAATCGCGCGACCTGTCCGCATACATTCGCACGACATTTGAGTTTTTTTTCTCACTCACTCAGAGCGAGCGCCTCTATCTCCATTTAGGTACTCTCGGCGCGGACACCGCTGTGTGGGATTCCGAAACCCAACGTAAACTTTGACCACCAGCAAACCGTTCACGGTATGAACCGCGAGTTTTTATGTTTCACACGCGTCTCAAAAAATCTCAAGTCAGTGATGATCACTAGGAAAAAATGCCGAATTCTCACAACGGTTCACTAGGTGGTAGGAGAAAAATTCATAAACAGAAAAAATGAATCTCATGAACAGTGTCGTGACGAAAACACCTACTACCTGGACCGACGGATAGCGCTTACCTAGAGCAGCCCTGTCCGCGTGCTCGAGGGTCTCGAAGGTTTTTGACGTCATCTCGAATAAAGCATCCAACGGTGAACTGTCGGCCTGGGGATCACCACCCGCCGCTGCCGCTTGACGTCTTGCGGCAGCTGCAGCAGCTGCGATTGCTGCTTGGTGTCGACGGTGCAAGAGTGCCGCCGCAGCCGTCGAAGCCGGACTTTCAGGTGAATCACTTTCTGAGATCGAGTCTTCGTCCGTCGACCGAGGACGTCTAGGAGGAGGGGGAGGCGTACCGTTCGGTGAATCCCACGGTCTCACGATTGCAGCTAACGAACTCATGGCAGCAGCCTGTTGTGCAGCTCTTTGAGCAGCTGCAGCAGCCGCTGCCGCCGCCGCTGCCGCGGCCGCGGCGGCAGCTGCCTGTTTATTGTGGTTCAGTATATCTTTGATGAAGAACGAGGTCAAGGGTTTGGGCTGTTGGTGCAGGGCGGGCGCTACTGCGGGTTCCGCCGACGTCGAGCGTACGGCTTCGGCTACCCGAGCCCTTTTGGGTTGGAAATAGGATTCGGCGTCGGAGGAGCAATCCTCGACGTCGAGAAGTTCTTCATCCTCGTCGTGCGCCACAGGATGCGGTGACGTTTGCGCAATCGGAACACTGTCAGGTTCTGAACGGCTGCCCGTACTCGAACAGTCATCGGTGGCCATTGGTTGTCGGAAAGTTTCTCTCAACACAGGAGCAGAGCTTTTGATGTATAGGTACCTGGTGTCCCCGTCAGCTGGTGGTGCGGCGTTCGAAATCGTCCCCGAAATCGTCCCCGAAATCACGAGTTCAGTTTCACCTGTTCTTCGCGCACTCTTCACTGGGTCGGAAGCTCATCGCGAACGCACTCAACTGTTCTCCTCCCGGACTCCGATGATTATGCTAACGATGATGGTGACGACCGAAGTTGTTGTGATGAGAAGAGTAACAGCGGTAATAAATCAGCAATGAAAATCTTGAGAAATTCATCAATCAGTGGGTCGATCGAGTCAGATCGATGACTTCTGCTGGTACGAAATTAGCCGATTCGTGCATCGATCGAGGGTACTAATTCAACCAGTCACCAGTCGAACTCCTCGGAACAATAAACTCAGGGTCCATGGTTACAACACGTGGAGAAACTCTGCGGGCCGCTGGGCTCGTTCTCTGCCGTGCTTCGCCCACTGTCTGCTCGCCAACAGAGCACTCGGAAGGTTCGTTTGTCCCTCCAGCCGAGTGATTTCGACGGCTAGACCGTTTTTCGGTGCGGCTTAGCCAGGAACATGAGCAGCACAAGCCGTAGCGGCACCGGCGTCAGCAGCACAAGACCAGCAGTCAGTAGTGGACTTCACGATCTGAGATGTTGCGCTGCTAACGACCAAGAGGTTGCAGACGAGGGCGGAGCCTCAGCCGGAGTGGGCGGTCCGGAGGCGGCGCATCAGAACAATTCTTATGTAATATGGGAAGGAGGGATGTCGACACCTTTTTCCGATATTATTATACATATAACAACTCCCTTCTGACGTTCTGACTTGCGGCGATGGCGGCGACGTGGTGATGATGGTGGCGGCGGCGACGACGACGACGGAAATTCGCGGGTGAAAAGAAGGAGAAAACCTGCACCAGAAAAATTCCGGGAATTCGGGAAAGCAGAACGAAATGATTCTACTCGACTCCAAATTTGAAATCAACACCTAATCGATGGAAGGGTATCGCCATGCCTCTCAACAGGTTTATCAACAGCTCAAGACAGAGGAACATGCCGGGGGAACAATTTAAAAAAAGAAAAAATGATGATTTCAGAGGGGGTAAATTATTTCTGAGAGCGGGAAAAGGCGGTCAACCTCTCAATGAAGTGTACGAGAAGTTTCGAAAAACGGTCATGCGATGAAGCAGGGGGAGTGGAGGACGGCGGGGTGTTGACGCGGCTCAATTCAATTATAGCTGTTGTCGTTGAACTAGTACGCGGGGGCCCCGGTTGCGTTGAGGTGTGAATAGAGACTCTGTGGAGACAGAAAAAGTGGGAGGGGTTGAAGGCGGCAGAGGAGAAAACAGAGGAAGAAGCGGAATGGAGAAGTGGGGGCGAGGTTGATGTCGAGACGACGACGCGAGTAAACAGTCATCGAAGCGAACCAAGCCGTAGCGGCGATCGAGGCAGCTGCTCTTGTGTCTGTCTTGCTGAACGGCTGACTGGCGGTCTATCCGCTGCTTGCCAGCCTGCTAGCCAGCCAGCCAGCCTGCCTACCTACCTACCTACCTACCGGAGTTTAAGTATAAGTTCGAGAAACGCTTTACGCTAAAAGCCACCTGCGTCCGTCGATTCATTGTTCGCGTTTCTTCTCGATTCCAACAGCATTCGCTCGGGCAGCTCATGTTCAATGGCGGACTCGACCGTGCCTGGATCCGAGTTGATGACTTTTGTCAGCGGATTACCCTGGTCGGACTGGATATCTTGTCTTCAACGGTATTCCACCATCAGGAGATAAAATACACCTATCACAACATTCATACGCTCCTTCGAGCACCTTTCCTCATCCACAGAGACCTGGTGAATACATGATTCTATACTGCCATTGGCGCGCTTCAGTTTCCCCCGATAATGAGCCTACACGGAGTCTACCCAATCTATTCCAGTGATCTCGAGCCGAGAGCTTCCATCTGTTCTCAGAAGAGTGACACGGCTAATCGTGCCTTGGCATCGATGACATTAAGACGCATTTCACAGACATGTTGACGATCGTATTTCCTCTCTGTATAAGCTCTGGCCAGCCGAATCTTTACAACAATCAGTGAGAAAAAAAACGCTACTCAGAACGTGTTCGGTTCGAGTTGTGAACGTAAGATGATCTCGAGACTGTGTTTAGCTTTCTCCTGCTCTCCGGACGGAATGGGAGGCGCTCGGGGTCAGAATAACGGTGCGCAGAATGGTTCCATTCAGAGAGTTTTCTTCTTATCACGCTGGATATAATTGTTCGTCGGCGAAGGGCTTCAATATATGCAGGATTTGAGTCTTGAGAACACGTCCGATCCGATTCCCACATCGAAAGTCCTTTTAACTTTCACGATCCCGTGAGTGTTCCACGGTTGCTGCGGGCTCGCAGCTCAAATCTCGGGGGGAGCTGCCATGCAGTGGAGCCTGTTGTCCAATGGAATCCAGAGCGGAACGATCTCGATCCGATCAAGGGTTTTCTCTGGATCATGTCGCAGCAGTCATTCCCCTAACATATCCCTCCGCTATCAGACGTATACAGATAATGTTTTGGGCATCTATCGGCTCACTCTGCTAAAAGCGATAGAAATTCAGAGTAAACACCATTCGCTGGCGAATTGTCGCCCTTGTGGGAAAATATTGGTGTTGAGACACCCGTAGCTCTAATGCAGGCTTCTCTGGGAAAATAGACGATCCGAGAACGAAGGGAGAAGGAGAAAGCGTCGAGGGCCCCTCAGATTTCCAAAGGGTATCAGTACTGTACCAACATATCTCCCCGTATAATTTGAGGAATGTTTTTCTGTATTGCTCAAAATGCTCGGTGAAGACCCTGAAAAATCTCTCGGGAGATACACCGAGACTTTCGCTTGGCTCTAAACTCCCCTTACTGCGGGAACAGTACCGCTGATCGTACGAAACGACGGGAGCACTGAGATCGAAAAGCTCGCGGGTCGATGAGGATGAATGTGGTGTGGCACAGTACGGTTGTTTAAGCGCGACCCGATCAAATTTCCAGGATTGTCACTGGGCGGTGATCGTTAGCTTGGCGAGGACATCGAATGCGTGTCAAAGTCACCACATGGAATGCCGCGCGAGCCCATCCACGGCTGTCTCCTGACCGCGCATTATGTGGAGCCGCAACGATTCTCTGATGGCGAGTGGTGAGGAAAAAGGATATCATACAGTTCCAGATTTGAAGTTTCGTCGAATCTCTCGACCTCGTGCGTTCTGCGTCAATCCTGGAACCATCCATGGATTTATTGGCTCGATCCGTCTCGGCGACGGTCGACGTTACCGTTCCCAGAGTCGTTATGAGATTTTCCTCGCTCAGATTGTTTTGCGTGGAGTCAAGACTTGAAGATGATTTGATCGCGTCCGAGGGAGGTGGTGATTTTGAAGAGAATTGGGATTCCGCAGATCGCCGGACATTTTGTCTTCGGGACGAATGCGAGCCTCAGTGGCAGACATGGCTTGGCACCACGTCCCGTGGTGTATTGTTTTGCCATGAATTGGTCAGGGCCAGAACGGATCGCGAGGTGATGTCGGACGCGTAGCAAATCTAAACACTTACGTAAGTTGACTTACAACCAAGAAGAATGACCAAGGGAAAAAGATACAAAAAACTTCGAAGATCATTCGGTATTCTATGTTTCCATCCATCCATTTGGACGGTCCATCCGAACTAAAAAGTCCGAAGCAAAAGCGGGTAAACTGCTAAGCTGAAACCACTGACCCAGTCGCGGAACGCTTCAGCTTGGCGACCTTCGTGCTTTAATCTTTTGCTTACGACCGCTATTTGAGAACTCATTTTTCACGCATCTATTAGACACATCCATTCCGTCCCCGAATTCACCCATCGATTCAGCTATCCATTCATGCCACTATCTATCTATTCATGTGCAGTCATTGAGCCTCTCGGTCGCGCGCTCATCGCAACGCATTCGCCATCGAGGTGTCCTGTTCCAGGGACAGCTCGTTTTCCGTGTGATCGCATGAGTTTTGCGGGGAGGATCTCGGTGATGTCATCGAGTCACGGACAGTCTCCCCAAAGGAGATCCCTCTTGCGGAATGTCTGATTCGTTGTGGGTGATTCTCTGAAAGGAGACTTGATATCTAATTCAAACGAGAGGAATAAGACACACGGTCGATCTCGCACGTATGATCGGGGAGCCCCATCGAACCCCATTCTCTTCAACCTCTTTACGTTGGCATTCGACTCCTCCAACGCTTCCCCAATTCGCCATAGTCCGGACTCGACTGGGGAGCTTTGAGCTCCAGGAGGAATTCTTCACGATCTCTCCGCGAGGCGAGATGCGGGGAGGAGGCCTACCGAGGAAATGCTCTTTGGAAGTCATCTCACAAAAAGGTGTTCCGAACAGTCATTTGTCGCGTTCTGTCATCTCGACTGACTTTAAAAAAGTGTATCCTGTTTTTTTCCAAGCCTCGTCTCTTGCTCCCCAATTTCTGTTACATCTCATCTTCTCGGGAAGGGTAACCTTCTGACAAAAAAGCTCTTCCTTCAGGCTCATGACGAATAGCTCATATCTGATCGAGTGCTCACTGACTGGCTCGCTGATAGACTTTACCGGAGAGAGCACAATGGTCAATCACGGCTACAACAGAATTGGCGGTCGACAGACGATGGACAAAATATGGCTCTTCTTTTTGTGATAGAGCGATCGTTCGACGAGGGAAAAATCGCCGCTTCAAGCGACGGACTTCATGAGCTACAAGTTTATGTGGCACTCCGATGAAGTACGGCTTGTGTCTTCGAACGGCATCAGCAGGAATGTCGGCATCAGTTTTTGCGAAGCGATCTGATCGTGGATTCGCGCAGATTCCGCTAGGATCCTTCTGGCCGATATTCCCACTCCCACAACCGTCTCACGGAGGAGAAAGGAATGATGGTATTCGATTTCCCGAAAGCGCTATTCTCGGCGGGAACTGCGTGAGGGATGCAGCGGGCGTTTCCACTCT